GGTTCTGTTAGATGATTGGTAGCCATAAGTGAATTTTAAAACTACAAAGCAACAAAAAGGACTTTTCATAAGCAAAAAAATGACAAAACAATCTTTCAGAATCCATCAAGACATGTTCACAAGAAAGCCAGCCTGTATCGTATTCTGGCTTAGTGCTGCTGCTGGGGCCACCTACCCGAGACAGGTAATTCTAGTCTTATCTCCCATGCCAATAAAAATTGGAATCTGGCCATTAGGTAAAATATACCTTTTGAGACTATCAAAAGGTTAGTAAGCAGACTGCACCTAGTCCTAAGTATCTGTCTCTTGATATGATATTTTCTATACTGTGTCATTTTCCTACAACCAAGTACTATCAACATATGGATGTTTCTGTGATGTGTCTGCTTTTCAAGTGTGATTTACTGGTACACCTACTGGGGTCCTACTATACTTTCTGTCTGGATGATCCCCCAAAGCCTCATTTGCCGAGATGAGGCTTTTGGAAGGTGAATGGATTATGGAGGCTTATGGCTGGCTTCTTGTTATAAGGTAAGGAGCTGGACAGTGGCACAAATCTGTAATCCCCGCTCTTGGGAGGCTGAGGCTGGAGGATCACTTGAGTTCAAGGCCAGGCTAGGCTACATAGCAATTTCAAGACTAGTCTTAACAACATAATGATACCCTATCTCAAGGGCGGGGGTGGGGGGACAAGGTGGGGGAACAGTGTCAGAAGAGGCAAGATCACTGAGAACGGGGCCTAGAAGAGTTCAACTCCTTGCCTGGATCCTCCTGTCACTCCGCTTCCTATCTACCAAGCCTTGAGCAACTCTCCTCTGCCATGACCCTCCGCCATGCCACCCACCGTTGAGCCAGCTGCTATGGACTGAAACCTCTAAAACCTGTGAGCCAAAATAAACTGTTCCTCCTTTAATTTATTGGTACCTACTTTTGAGTCCAGATGAGAAGTAAAGTGATTAAGACATGCTCCTACTTATCCTCTCTCCTCAAAATAAATTAGATAGGGGGGAAAGAAAAAGGCTGGTTTTCTTGCCTGTTTTTTGTTTTTCAGTGCTGGGGGTTGAACCTAGCCAGGTCCTTCTACATGGTAGGCAAGCACTGTACCACTGAGCTGCACCCCAATCCAGAAGGCGACTCTTTGAACCTTTCCTCTAGTTGACTGCTTGAATGTACAAAGAACCAATTTGGATACCCTAAATGCTTCAGGATACAGTAAGGATACAAAATGATTGCTTCATTTTTTAATTTTAAAAATATATAGCATATTTCTCTAAAATCGACAAATGTATTTTTCATAAAAAATGAATGCACAAAAATAAAGCCAAAAAGTTATAAACTTAAAAATAAACTTAAGAAATATTATAAAACCTATATGACTAAAACAGTATTTTTAAAAAGAACTCTCACTCCCACAATATTCACAAGTAGTCTTGAAGAAAAAGAAATTTGTTTCTGGTTAGGGCTTCTCAACATGATCAAAATGTCTGTTCTCCCTGGGCTAACTTACAAATTATCTGCAACTATAGCAAGAGTAGGAAGGAGGTCCCTTTCTTCCTGGTGCTAGTCAAACGCATGATAAAGTTTACTGGGAAGATAAGCAATAGGTAAGAGAACACTGAGAAGAGTGAGCTGTGACAAGGACTGGTCTTAAGGGGCACCACTGCATACTGCTTATCCTCTGTAATTAAACAGGTAGGCACAAGTGCAAGAACCCGCAGGCCCGTGGAGACACAGAGAAATCACTGAACGAGGCTCAAATACCACTCAGTATTTTAATATGACCACAATCTTCCAACAAAATCAGAATCCTAATGAAATCTGAAGGGAAAAAACTGACAAACTAATGATAAACAACATTAAGGAAAAACATTTTCAGATGAGATCTTTCCCCAGGAATTTTTGAAGAGCAATAACGGGAAAATCTTGCTCTTATAAGAGGCAGATAAATAAGGATCTATCACACAATGAGTGAAACAATGCACAGATTATAAATTGTATAGTTCTCTAACCATCTAGAAGAACATATTAAATTAATAACAGGTTAATAGCATTTAAAGGATGATACAATAGAGTACTACTTTTTGTTTCTAGTATAAATGCAATTTCTGACACATTTTGTGCTGTTTCGAGTAAAATTAATTTTATGATTGAAAAATGGGGAAAGGCAAGACAGTATAGTACAGCCTCTTGTTATGCTAGGCTACAAAAGGACACAAATTCACCAAGCACTAATGTGCAGCTTATCTGGCAGGTTCACACAGGGTGTGGAGGTGGGGCACTGGCCAGAAGCCAGCACAGTGTAATCCTCTGAACCCACAGTGCACCAGGGCACCACAGGAGACTCAATGGGGTCTGCTCCCCCTTGTCCATAGCAACCTGACTCCTTGTTTTACTTACGGTCATGCTGTACATTATTTCATTTTTAAAAAGCATACTATTGCCTAAATAAACCACTCACACATGGACGACCTCCAACAGAAACATTATCTTAAAAGTAAATGTGGGCTGGGGATTTAGCTCTGTGGTGCCACCACCTGCCCGGCAAGTGCAAGGACCTGAGTTCAATACAGGCTACCAACAACAAAAAAATAAATGTGCACTGGTTATTGAAGTGCAAGATCTACTATGTTAAAGAATATACAGTCACATTTCCTAAATGCAAAGGCTGCCATATACAGAGCTCACATAAGTCACAAGCTGTTAAGAATGGTATTACCTACAAAATAAACCTCAACTATAGGTCCTTTGTGAGGACTGTAGAACTGCAAGCTTGATGCACACCTAGGCTTATGCTCAGTGCCCCAGAGGAACTCAGGATCAATAGCTCAGGCAGTTCCCCCTTATAAAAGCCAAACAATAAAAACAGTGTAAAAGATTATGAGAATGACATGGCCTGGAGAGTTGAAAGGAAGGGATTACAATTCAGAGAATAGTAACCAAAGGCTTCTGGGACATGCATACATGTACAGAGATGGACTCTCTGAATTACCTAGGGTAACACACACTTGTCAAATACTCCCAGAAACTGTATGTGAAAAGGGGGAAGGGTTTATTTGAAATAAATTATAAATTAAAATAAGAAAAATATTCACGTACAAATAAAACTTAGAAGACAATTTGGCATTTTCTACAAAATCAAAACACATGAGGCTTATGATTTAGCTATTTACATCTAGGAACGTATTTTCCAGTTATATCTGCAAGTGCACAGTGATTCATTATACAAGAGAATATTCAATGTAGCACAGTTTATAAAATTTAAAAACCAAGTGTTTAAATGAAATAATGTTCACTGAAAAAAGAAGGGAAAGTATTAGTCAAGAGTGCGGGAACTCTAATAAACATTGTTGCTGTGGGATGTAGCTCAGCGATAGAATATTGCCTACTGTGCACAAGGCCTGGGTTCCATCTCCAGAATCATAGAAAGAAAATAAAAGGATATGCCATTTCACTTCCAGGGAGTTATATTGAAATACATCTACCTCCCAAATGTATGTATACCTTATCTGCCAGAATCATTTGTAATATCATAAAAAAGCAAACACCTATACAGGAGACTAGAAAAGGAAACTATGGTGCAGCCAAAGAAACACAAGAACAATCACTTAACAGTCACTGTGAAGTCTATCCTTAAAAAA